AAGTTCTATGCCTGCTGTTATTTCCTTTGAGGAATATCCTTAGTCATTCTTTAAAGGTAGGTTGACTGGTAATTCTCTTAGTTTCCTTTGTCTGAGAAGCAATTAAATTTCAATATCTAGTATTGTAACTATAATAAAATAATTTTCTAGCTTAAAAGTGAACCAAATTTAAACATAAAATAAATGCCTATCACTAATGCAGAATAAAACAGAGATACAGAAACCAGTACCACAAATGGGCCATTCAGAAAAAAGGACTGAAAGAAAGCATGTCACAAATTCTACAGTGAATGGAAACTGCAATTTGCGGCAACACAGCAAAATGAAAAAAGCTATTTGTGTGTAAAAAATATTTTAAGCAATAAATTAGACAATATTAAGAGACATTTTAAGTAAATACATAATGAATTTGATATGAAAGTTCCTCTTGGAAGTCAAAAAAGAATCAAAATTGTAGTTCAAAATAGGAGTTGAATATACGACAAAAAAATCCTTAATTTTTTTTTATTGTTGTTGTTTGTTTATTTTGAGACGAGTCTCCCTCTGTCACCCAGGCTGAAGTGCATTGGTCGGATCTCGGCTCACTCCAATCTCTGCCTCCTGGGTTCAAGCGGTTCTCCTGCCTCAGCCTCCTGGGTAGCTGAGACCACAGGCATGCATCACCTCACCTGGCTAATTCTGTTTGTATTTTTAGTAGAGGCGGGGTTTCACTGTGTTGGTCAGGTTAGTCTCAAACTCCTGACATCATGATCCGCCTGCCTCAGCCTCCCAAAGTGCTGGGATTACAGGCATGAGCCACTGTGCCTGGCTACACTTAATGGTTTTTAACAGGAACTGAGATTATAATTTTTTTTTTTTTTTTTTTTTTTTTTTTGAGACAGAGTCTTGCTCAGTCGTCCAGGCTGGAATGCAATGGCACGATCTCGGCTCACTGCAACCTCTGCTTCCCAGGTTCAAGTGATTCTCTTGCCTCAGTCTCCTGAGTAGCTGGGATCACAGGCATGTGCCACCACGCCTGGCTAATTTTCTTTTCTATATTTTTAGTAGCAACGAGGTTTCATCCTGTTGGTCAGGCTGGTCTTGAACTCCTGACCTCATGATCTACTGCCTTGGCCTCCCAAAGTGCTGGGATTACAGACATGAGCCACCGCGCCCAGCCTATAATTTTATTTTATTTTATTTTATTTTTTGAGATAGAGTTTTGCTGTGTTGCCTAGGCTGGAATGCAGTGGCATGATCTTGACTCACTGAAACCTCTGTGTCTCAGGTTCAAGCGATTCTTACGCCTCAGCCTCCCGAGTAGCTGGGAACTACAGGTGTGCGCCACCACACCTGGTTAGTTTTTTGTAGTTTTTGGTAGAGATGAGCTTTTGTTATGTTGGTCAGGCACCTGGCCCGTGAGCCTGTAATGTTAGCCAACTAATGTGTTGGGTCAGGCACAGTGGCTCATACTTGTAATTCCAGCACTTTGGGAAGCCAAGGTGGGCAGATCACGAGGTCAGAAGTTCGAGACCAGCCTGACCAACATGGTGAAACCCCGTCTCTACTAAAAATACAAAAATCAGCCAGGTGTGGTGATGCACCTGTAATCCCAGCTACTCAGGAGACTGAGGCAGGAGAATTGCTTGAACCCGGGAGGCTGAGGTTGCAGTGAGCCGAGATCATGCCATTGCACTCCAGCCTGGATGACTGAGTGAGACTGTCTCAAAAAAAAAAAAAAAAAAAAAAGTGTTGGATTCTTGCAGAAAGAAAAGAGGGAGGGAAAAAAAGAGAAGAAAGGAAGGAAAAGAGGGAGAGGGAAGGGAGGGATGAAAAATGAAAGTCATTTTTAATTAGATAGTAAAACAAATTATTTCAGTTGTGAAAATTTTGCTAGAAAATTGTGAGAAAAAGACCAAAGATATTTTACAAAAAGTGAATGATCTTCAACTAAGCCATTAAACAATGGTCCACAGATTACAAAAACTTTCTAACAATACAGTGTCAAAGATCAACTGATTAACAATTCAAAAAATTACAAGTACTTTTCTTTAGCTTTAAATGGATGATGTGATGTAAGAGACAATGTTGGCCAAGTGCAGTGGCTCATGAGTGTATTACCTGCACTTTGAGAGGCCGAGGCAGGTGGATCACCTTAGGTCATGAGTTTGAGACCAGCCTGGCTAACATGGTGAAACCCTGCCTCTACAAAAAAAAAAAAAAAAAAAAAAAATTAGCCAGGCATGGTGGTAGGCACCTGCAATCCTAGCTACTCAGGAGGCTGAAGCAGGAGAATCACTTGAACCTGGGAGGTGGAGGTTGCAGTGAGCCAAGATTGCACCACTGCACTCCAGCCTGGGCAACAGAGTGAGACTCCATGTCAAAAATGACAATGTCTATTAATACTTTGGGTATATTTATGTCTCAAAGTACTTTCAAAATTCTTAATTTTTATTAAATTAGAATAAAAATACCTAAATTTATGGAGTTCTTTTTATCTTTTATAACCATCAAAGAAGAATTTATGCCTATTATGACAGATGGTTGCCCATCTACATTAGGTAAAAATCCAGATTTATTGGAATGGTAAGACAAGAATGCTAAGCCATTAAACAATGACCCATAGATTACAAGAACTTTCTAACTTTCTAACAGTGTCAAAGATCAACTGGTTAACAATTCAAAAAATTACAATTGTTTGTAGCTTTAAATGCATGATGTGATATAAAAGACAATGTCAGCCAGGTGTGGTAGGCAAGCCCAGACAATGGTAAGACAAGACAATGGTTATTTCATTTATTGCTTTATTCAACTATATGATATATATTGAAAATCCTTGTGCTGAGTTTTTAAAAGCACACTCTATGAAAAGTGTTATGGTATACAATTACTTAAAAGTCATTTAGGTCCATGTGTGGTGGCTCACACCTGTAATCTCAGCACTTTGGGAGGCCAAGGCAGGCAGATCACCCAAAGTCATGTGTTCAAGACCAACCTGGCCAACATGGTGAAACCCGATCTCTACTAAAAATACAAAAATTTGCTGGATGTGGTGGTGCATGCCTGTAATCCCAGCTACTCAGGAGGCTGAGGCAGAAGAATCACTTGAGCCTGGAAAACAGAGGTTGCAGTGAGCTGAGATTGCATCACTTCACTCCAATCTGGGTGATACAGCAGGACTGTCAATCAATCAATCAATCAATGTCATTTAATATCTATACACTAATGTTATAAATCATTGTCATGTTATGGAGCCATTGAAAGAAATAGAAGACACTGATTTTAGTAATCTTGTGTTCTCTCCCTGTGCTCATTGATAGAGTTGTGGAAGAACTTTTAGAAAGTATTTTTAACTCCAATGTAATATGTTCCTGAATTGGAAGGAATATTCAATAATCAAAGACAAAATGACAATGTGATTTATATTTTCTCACAGATATCACAATACATATGAAGAAGCTAAATTTTAAACTCCAAAAAGGAAGAGTTTATTTGTGATTTACTCAGACAAGAACAACAATTTACGTTGAAATTGAAACTCTTCCTAATAAAAATCGGCAACAATGACTTTATGCATTTCTCTCTTTCTTTTTCTTGTCTTTTTTTTTTTTTTTTTTTTTCCAGGCAGGTTATCACTCTGTTGCCCAGGCTGGAGTATAGTGGTGCAATCTCAGCCCACTGCAATCTCTGCCTCTTGGGCTCAAGTGATCCTCCAGTTTCAGCGCACCCAAGTAGCTTGGACTACAGGTGCGAGCCACCATGATTGGCTAATTTTTTTTTTTTTTTTATTTTTTGTAGAGACAGGGTTTCACCATGTTGCCCAAGCTGGTCTTGAACTGAGCTCAAGCAATCCAGCCACCTCAGCCTCCTGAAGTGTTAGGATTACAGGCGTAAGCCACTATGCCTGGCCAGAATGGTTTTACTTTTTAATGTGACTAAAAATTTTAAATTACCTATGTGACTCATATTTTATTTCTAGTGGACAGCACTGATCTAAATATTATCCTTTGGTTTTTTTTTTTTTTTTTCTTTTTGTTTTTTTTTTTTTTTTTTTTTTTTTTTGATGCTGCAACTATCTTCTCCTTGTCTGTTAACTTTGTTTTTGGTATCCTTTGCTGAACAAAAATGCCTTAACATTAATGTAGCTAAATCATCAATATTTCACTTATTGTTTGTACTTCAATGGTTTAATAAACTTCGCAAAGATGCTCTTTATTTTCTTCTACAGGTTCTGAATATTCATCTGTCTAATTTAAGTCTTTAATTCATTTAGAGTTCATCTTTGTATAGTGTAATGTAGAAGTCCAGCTTTTTCTCCAGATGATAAGCCAGTTTTCCCAATACTGTATTCCAAACAAGGCATTCTTTTCCATTTTTTATCACATTTATTATAAATCAAATTCTCATATACACACAGATCTATTTCTGAGCTCTCTCTCTGTTCCATTTGTCTATTCCTACACCAGAACCCACTGCTTTTGCTTTGTAATATTCCTCAGTAACTAGTAAGTTGAATCACTCATTTGTATGCTGATATAAATATATCAACCTAAAACATTCCAACAAAAGTTTCTTTACTTTCTCTTTGCTTTATCTTACCAGCTATGGAGTTTGATCTTTTAAGCATTATTAATAAATATTGCCATTAGAATTTTCTTTGATAGCCTTTTCTTTAAGGATGTTTTTCTCAGTAAATCTTTTAGAGCTGTGATAGAGTAAAAACTCATCTGTTCACATCTGATAAACCACATGGATAATAAGCAAGCCTCTACAGAGCACCTGCTTTTGCAAGTGTCTCTTGTATCAGTTAGAGTTCTCTGGCTTCCACTGATAAAAATCAGTGGAAGAATAGTTGAACCGCCAGGGTTCAAGAAGAACCAGAATCAATGTAGGCTGTTCTAACCTTCTCCCACTCAATAAGACATTTGTTCTCCTTCAAACTCTTCCTGTCATACCTGTTTTACTTTTTTTTTTTTAAAGTGGTTTCTTGAGAAAGGACAGATGTTTTTCCTCTGTCTTACCATGTGGTATCTTCAGTGTCACGTTATTGTTGTTAATATTTATCATATTATCTATTCTCTGAGCAGCCCTTGCATCCTTCCCCTTCCCTTTTTGCTTGTTACCAGAGTTGGCTTCTGTTGCCTGCAACTAAAGAACCATGAGATAATTTTTTTTTTTGTCTCTTCTTTTAGTTAGTTTAGACAATTAGACTCCTGGACATTACCCTGTCCCACATTTTGTATCACACCTTCTTGTTGTGGTTTATTCTTGATTGAATTTGTATGATAGATACAAAATTAGAAGTTTTTTTTTTTTTTATGTTTTCTTCCTTCTGCATTTGGTAGGGTATAAGGATTAAGGCTGGAAATCAGGGTAGGGTAAGGGGAATGAAACAAATAGCAAAGACAGAAGAGGACAGAAGAAATGAAGGGGTAAGTTTTAAAAATATGTTGAAGTGCCCTACCCTCAGAAAGTCTAGATCAGGTAGAAGCAACAGTTTGAGAACTGATGCAAGCTTGAAAAATGAGTACTGGGGGGCGGGGAGAGAGGTGAGAAATGTAGTAAATGGCCAAAGGCTTTAAAGATTTTTAAATCCTTTGGGGAGGAAAATGAATGCAAAGTCCAGATTCAGCAGAAAGTCTCTCAGGATTCATGGAAGTCCATATTCTGAGGTAACGATGCTTGGGCCCAGGACAGAATTTTCAAGAAGAGTTTTGGGTTTTAAAAAACATGTATGAATTATTGCTTATATAATTTATTTTTATTTTTATTTATGTAGATGCACTCACTATGTCACCCAGGCTGGAGTGCAGTGGTATGATCTTGGCTCACTAAAGCCTCTGCTTCCTGGGTTCAAGCGATTCTTGTGCCTCAGCCTCCCGAGTAGCTGGGATTACAGGCATCTGCCACCAGGCCCAGCTAATTTTTTTTATTTTTAGTAGTGACAGGTTTCACCATGTTGCCAGGCTGGTCTTGAACTCCTGACCTCAAGTGATCGGCCCACCTCGGCCTCCCAAATGCTGGGATTACAGGCGTGAGCCACTGCGTCCAGCCAGAATTGCTGCTGATGTAATTTATATTTGGGGGTTGAAGTTAGGATATATAAAAGTTGGGGAGCAGGACATAAATGTGGGGAGGGGGAATCATCAGAGCTTAGGGATAAAAGACTGTTGTTTTACTTCAATATTTTCAGTCCATGGCACTGCACTGACACAAAAAGAACACTCAGGTATTTATGAGTAAATGGATAAGTTGATGAACGAATAAAGTAGCAAAAAATCAGGACCTGTGAGCTACTCTGAAGGATTTCAGAGATGCTGCAAATTTGCAAGAGTAGGAATGACTATGGAGAGAATGTTCTCACAAAGTTCAGTTTAACTGAAGTATTTGTTAGATACATACTCTGTGCTCTGCACCTGCACTCGGGGCAAATACAAAGACAAGGAACAGTCCCTACTCTTACGTAACTCACAATTCTGTATGTGAACAGGGAGAAATCTCGATATTAACAGCAGTGATATGAGACTGAAGATACCACAAAATAAGAAAGAGGTAAAACATGCCCTTTTGCAAGAAACAAGTTTAAAAAAAAAAAAAAAAAAAAAAAAAAAAAAGGTAAAACAGGTACAAGAGGAAGAGTTTGAAAGACAGCTCACGTCTTATTGAGTGGGAGGTTAGAATAGCCAACATTGAGGATGTGGCATTTTAAATACACCTTGAAGCACTGGTAGGGTTTCCAACGACAAAGTCGTTTCACAAAGAAGAAATAACAAAAACGAAGCCTGGAGATAGGAAAGTGTAGGATATGCCCAGAAGGGCAGGTTGTGGTCATATTAGGAAGACCTTGAGTGCCACACTAAGGAAACTGTATTTAATTGTAGACACTGAAAGTCACTTAAAGTGTTTGAATGAGAGAGTTATATGGTTAAAATCAGTGTTTTAGAGAAAATTTGTTTGTCAGAGTTTTGTAGATCCTTGCTGCTCAAAGAGTGGTCAAAGACTAGAAGCATGGGCTTTACCTGGGAGCCTACTAGAAATGAAGAATCTCAGGCCCCCATCGCAGACCCACAGAATCTAAACCGGTACAGTAGCAACAGCCCAAGCAATTTGTTTGCACATTAAAATTTGAGAAGCACTGGTATACAATATAATTGAAGAGGAAGACTTGACCTAAGAATGTCAGAAGACTGGGCCAAAGATAGAGAACAAAGAATGTGGCTAAAGGGAGAAGACATAAGTGACAAAGGGCTTTCAGTCTAGATGGTGATGGCATATTTCTGCCTCACTCATTTTCCTAATAGGTTAATCCTCTTCCCTTATTCATTAAAGTCATTGTTTTCTGTTAATACATCTTTTCCTACTCGGTTCTATTCATTAGCAAGCACTGCTTCTTTCTGATTGTGCTCATAGGTCATGAAGCAAATGAGAAATTTTCTTGAGCCTCATTCTTAAGGGATACAGATTGCAACTACTGCTGTGCCATATGCTGGAGGAAAGAAATCACACGAAGCAATTAGAAGGGAGAAAAAAATAAGTGAAACTATCTTCTCATTTACTTCAGGGTTTTCCTCCCTTCTGAGTTTAATACGAATCTAACAGGTGTGCATTCAAAGCGTGCAACTGTGTCTTCATCGGCTTTTAATCATCAGCTTGAAGAAAATTCAGATCTCTCAGAAAGAGAGAAAAGTAAACAGCTGAGCACTGTGACTCATTTACACTTCAAATATACTTTGAATTGGTTATTCCTCAATTAATCAAATAGCTGGTGTATCCCTAAAGTAGTATAAAGTGACACGCTGTGTGAAATCAATTTTTCTTTCCAAAATCATTAAATCCAGTAGCCTGTGACTACATCCCTGCTAATTCTGGTACCAGTCCTTTCATCCTCCATTAACTTTGGCACGCCTAACAGGCTATCAAAAATAATTTCCCAGGACGTAAATAATTCAGAAATTAAAAATTAATAAATAATAACAGAGAACTACTGGGAAATAGGCTGGGTCAATTAGTGCGCTCTGCATTCTGTTTCTTCGCAGCAGGGGGAGGCAGCCACATTCGTTACTTGAATCTTCCCTTCGATTCTGTGGTCTGATTTACAGCTCTTCATTACTGGATCCAGTCAGACGCAATTACCTCCATCACTATCTCAGTTCCTAACTTCAAAGAAACGAGCGTTTTCTTGTCTGCTTTTTTTCTCCTTGCAGCAGGCTCAGCTTGACATCCCTGGAATTTCTTCCACGCAGACTAATTAATAAGTCTTCGACTTATCATATTCACTTCTCTTCTTTGATGTGCTACCTTAGTCAATCATCCCATTTAATTAGAATTTCAATGATAACTTTACTTATCTTGTGGCTAGATGTAAATTAAAATAACGGGATTTTAATTCTCTTTCGTAAGGGGTTATGACATTTTGGAAGAAAAAGTTTCAACACAACCATGATATTATGTACTTTTTACTTTTCATGTGGGGGTGGGGGAGCATTTTGCAAAATTATTTTCTTCTTGCTACAAGAGTATTGCTGTTGAGCAAGCAATAATGAAAATGCACTGGGTTTTCGACAGCATTCTTTCACCAAGCTTTCATAGGAGGATAATTGTCTTTATTTGCATAAATAATTAGAACAAGACACAGGTCATGGAACAAGACACAGAGGCAGTGGCTACGTTCTGAAAAAACAAAAAACAGAAAAAGTATCTCCAGAAAGTCAAGGAATTGACACACTAATCCTTTTAACTCCTTTTGCCCTTTTCTGCCAATCCATGGTATTTTCCATTTTTATAAATTCTGTAGTGGTTTTTCTAGAGTTCCCCAAAATACCACATGGAAATAAAAAAGTTCTCCTAAGAACACACCAAACATTAGTAAGGTATAAGATGTGGCAGTGATGTGCAAAACTAGTTAATAAGGGAGAGCAGAAGGCAGCATTTCATTTCTAGAAAACAATAATAAGATGAATTATCTATTGAGCAGCCATTGTGTGCCAGCCTTAGTCACGTGCTTTATCACCATTAATTTCCCCAGCACACCCATAATGTGGGATTCCCACTTCCATGTTACAGATAAAGAGACAGTATCCGTGAGGTTAACTTGCTTTCTGAAGGTCACAAAGGTGGCACGTGAGGAGAAAGAAATCAAAAGAGAAGGTACGAGAGAAACAATCTAAGCCTTTAAGCAAAGCATTTAAAGCTTTCCTTCATCTGGCTTCAAACTGCTTGCCAAGCTTATTCTCTTCCTACTCTACTACATTAACTCAGCCAGAATAAAACTACAGGCATGAGTTTAGTATCTACAGTGTTATAATTTATTAATAATATATGCCTTATTAATACATTTTTGATGGTTGCTTTAATGCTTATAGACATTGGCAGAAATTCAGTCATTGCAGCTGTAAATACTGGGCATGCTTGTATATAAAGAAGCATGGTGACCTCAATCGTCATAAATACATTGTTTTTAAATATCAAGTACAAATAAAAAATCATATACTATATATACAAGTTTTAGAAAAGAAAATAAGCTTTGGTCAGTTTTTCTTTTTCTTTTTTCCAGGAATAAAATTATTAGCTGTTTCATTTGTTGCTTTAAAAAAAGTTACTAACAATAGGAACATCAATGGGAATTGTACGTAACTATTCTGCCCTTAATTTCAATCATTCTCTTCCTCTACTCTCAATAAAAATGTCCAGTAAGACAACAAACACAGGTCACAACGATCAATAGAAACATTTCATTAGCAAGATGTGAAACCACTGCATTTATGCCATTTTGAATCTAACCTTTCGGGGATTTAGTACAGTTGTTCTTTAACAATAGGACCAGGCTCATTTGCTACTTAAGACAAGATTATTTAAATTAAAGTTAATTGGTTTCCTTATTCTCCTTTAGGGTTTTAGGCTCAGAACATTTCTATTAGAAAAATCTAATTTGTTTTAAATTCCTATTTCTAAAATGTAGAGTGGTTACAATGCTCTGATATTTTAACTCTTTGTAGCAAAAGTTGTTGCTAAATTACAGCTCAAGCTGGTAAAGCAATTAAAGCTGCAGTGACACATTTGGCAGAAGGACTCAACAGCAGTTAGGAGAAAACCCAGAGCTACAGAATACCAGGTGAGCAGTTGGTCTCCAGTAGGGCCTCTCAGAAGCT